GCTGTGGGTCCCTATAATTACACCAGTGGTGGTACCCCCCTATATATATATATATATATATATATATATTATTAAATATGACCAAAAAAGTAAGATTAATAATTCTAACACGAATTTTCTCAATCTTTCGTACATTTCTTTTCACTGTTGGAGGTAATTCAAAAATCAATTCTCCAAAATTCATTTTTATTTCTAGTCTGACGCGACACTTGAGCGCGTTTCGTAAAACTTATTACATTTTCAAAGACTTTAGTTAACACATACACAACTGAATAAAACTTACACATCTCCGATTTTGTTTATATCTCATTTGAGTGAGGTGGATGGGGTGAGGTGGTATTTAATAAGGTATTAATTTCATCAACACAAGCCAGAACATGAAACAATGGGTATTGAATAGAAGTGATTGTAGAAAGCCTATTGGTCCATATTTCTTGATTCTTCTATATTGGAGCGGAGTCTTGAGGTGGGTAGAATATAGTTGTGCATTAATTGGCTGTTGATTGCTGGTGTTGACTTCTTGATGTGTAATGCCTCGCAAACGTCAAGCCGCCTGCTATCGCTGTATCTATCGATGATTTCTGTGTTGTTTACTAGGATTTCTCTGGCGATGGTTTGGTTGTGGGAAGAAATGATATGTTCCTTAATGGAGCCCTGTTGCTTATGCATCGTTAAACGCCTAGAAAGAGATGTTGTTGTCTTGCCTATATATTGGGTTTTTTGGAGCTTACAGTCCCCAAGAGGGCATTTTTAGGCATAGACGACGTTAGTCTCTTTTAAAGCGTTCTGTTTTGTGTCTGGAGAGTTTCTCATGAGTAGGCTGGCCGTTTTTCTGGTTTTATAGTAAATCGTCAGTTGTATCCTCTGATTTTTGTCTGTAGGGATAACGTCTTAGGGAACGTGTAGGGATAATGATGTCTTCGACAAAAAAATATGTCGACCGTGCTCTCAGCCACAGCTCAGAATGGAAGCAAGTCGACGAAGAACTCTGTAAGGTAAGGCAGGTCCTAGTCAACAACGGCTTCTCCAATGGTTTTGTCGAAGAAACATAAGAAGGAAAGTGAAACGCCATGCAACCTCTGAAGAGACAACCAACACAACACCTATACCCCCTATTAGACTATTTTACAGGAACTTCTTTTCCACAGCTCATAAAACGGAGGAAAGGGTCCTGAAAGATATTGTTAATAGAAACGTTATCCCTACAGACAAAAATCAGAGGATACAACTGACGATTTACTATAAAACCAGAAAAACGGCCAGCCTACTCATGAGAAACTCTCCAGACACAAAACAGAACGCTTTAAAAGAGACTAACGTCGTCTATGCCTTCTAATGCCCTCTTGGGGACTGTAAGCTCCAAAAAACCCAGTATATAGGCAAGACAACAACATCTCTTTCTAGGCGTTTAACGATGCATAAGCAACAGGGCTCTATTAAGGAACATATAATCTCTTCCCACAACCAAACCATCGCCAGAGAAATCCTAGTAAACAACACAGAAATCATCGATAGATACAGCGATAGCAGGCGGCTTGACGTTTGCGAGGCATTACACATCAAGAAGTCAACACCAGCAATCAACAGCCAATTAAAGCACAACTATATTCTACCCACCTCAAGACTCCGCTCCAATATAGAAACATCAAGAAATATGGACCAATAGGCTTTCTACAATCACTTCTATTCAATACCCATTGTTTCATGTTCTGGCTTGTGTTGATGAAATTAATACCTTATTAAATACCACCTCACCCCATCCACCTCACTCAAATGTAGATATAAACAAAATCGGAGATGTGTAAGTTCTATTCAGTTGTGTATGTGTTAACTAAAGTCTTTGAAAATGTAATAAGTTTTACGAAACGCGCTCAAGTGTCGCGTCAGACTAGAAATAAAAATGAATTTTGGAGAATTGATTTTTGAATTACCTCCAACAGTGAAAAGAAATGTACGAAAGATTGAGAAAATTCGTGATAGAATTATTAATCTTACTTTTTCGATCATATTTAATAATATATATATATATATATATATGCGAACAAGCCTGAATGGTCCCCAGGACAATATGCAACTGAAAACTCACACCCCAGAAGTGACTCGAACCCATACTCCCAGGAGTAACACAACTGGTATGTACAAGACGCCTTAATCCACTTGACCATCACGACCGGACAAAATGAGGTGATAGCCGAAGCTATTTGAACCACCCCACTGCCGGCACTCGGATAGTAATCTTGGGCATAGCATTTTACCAAATCACCTCATTCTTTGGGGCACACGTGAGGAACACAAATGCGAACAAGCCTGAATGGTCCCCAGGACAATATGCAACTGAAAACTCACACCCCAGAAGTGACTCGAACCCATACTCCCAGGAGTAACACAACTGGTATGTACAAGACGCCTTAATCCACTTGACCATCACGACCGGACAAAATGAGGTGATAGCCGAAGCTATTTGAACCACCCCACCGCCGGCACTCGGATAGTAATCTTGGGCATAGCATTTTACCAAATCACCTCATTCTTTGGGGCACACGTGAGGAACACAAATGCGAACAAGCCTGAATGGTCCCCAGGACAATATGCAACTGAAAACTCACACCCCAGAAGTGACTCGAACCCATACTCCCAGGAGTAACACAACTGGTATGTACAAGACGCCTTAATCCACTTGACCATCACGACCGGACAAAATGAGGTGATAGCCGAAGCTATTTGAACCACCCCACCGCCGGCACTCGGATAGTAATCTTGGGCATAGCATTTTACCAAATCACCTCATTCTTTGGGGCACACGTGAGGAACACAAATGCGAACAAGCCTGAATGGTCCCCAGGACAATATGCAACTGAAAACTCACACCCCAGAAGTGACTCGAACCCATACTCCCAGGAGTAACACAACTGGTATGTACAAGACGCCTTAATCCACTTGACCATCACGACCGGACAAAATGAGGTGATAGCCGAAGCTATTTGAACCACCCCACCGCCGGCACTCGGATAGTAATCTTGGGCATAGCATTTTACCAAATCACCTCATTCTTTGGGGCACACGTGAGGAACACAAATGCGAACAAGCCTGAATGGTCCCCAGGACAATATGCAACTGAAAACTCACACCCCAGAAGTGACTCGAACCTATTGGTTCAAATAGCTTCGGCTATCACCTCATTTTGTCCGGTCGTGATGGTCAAGTGGATTAAGGCGTCTTGTACATACCAGTTGTGTTACTCCTGGGAGTATGGGTTCGAGTCACTTCTGGGGTGTGAGTTTTCAGTTGCATATTGTCCTGGGGACCATTCAGGCTTGTTCGCATTTGTGTTCCTCACGTGTGCCCCAAAGAATGAGGTGATTTGGTAAAATGCTATGCCCAAGATTACTATCCGAGTGCCGGCGGTGGGGTGGTTCAAATAGCTTCGGCTATCACCTCATTTTGTCCGGTCGTGATGGTCAAGTGGATTAAGGCGTCTTGTACATACCAGTTGTGTTACTCCTGGGAGTATGGGTTCGAGTCACTTCTGGGGTGTGAGTTTTCAGTTGCATATTGTCCTGGGGACCATTCAGGCTTGTTCGCATTTGTGTTCCTCACGTGTGCCCCAAAGAATGAGGTGATTTGGTAAAATGCTATGCCCAAGATTACTATCCGAGTGCCGGCGGTGGGGTGGTTCAAATAGCTTCGGCTATCACCTCATTTTGTCCGGTCGTGATGGTCAAGTGGATTAAGGCGTCTTGTACATACCAGTTGTGTTACTCCTGGGAGTATGGGTTCGAGTCACTTCTGGGGTGTGAGTTTTCAGTTGCATATTGTCCTGGGGACCATTCAGGCTTGTTCGCATTTGTGTTCCTCACGTGTGCCCCAAAGAATGAGGTGATTTGGTAAAATGCTATGCCCAAGATTACTATCCGAGTGCCGGCGGTGGGGTGGTTCAAATAGCTTCGGCTATCACCTCATTTTGTCCGGTCGTGATGGTCAAGTGGATTAAGGCGTCTTGTACATACCAGTTGTGTTACTCCTGGGAGTATGGGTTCGAGTCACTTCTGGGGTGTGAGTTTTCAGGTGCATATTGTCCTGGGGACCATTCAGGCTTGTTCGCATTTGTGTTCCTCACGTGTGCCCCAAAGAATGAGGTGATTTGGTAAAATGCTATGCCCAAGATTACTATCCGAGTGCCGGCGGTGGGGTGGTTCAAATAGCTTCGGCTATCACCTCATTTTGTCCGGTCGTGATGGTCAAGTGGATTAAGGCGTCTTGTACATACCAGTTGTGTTACTCCTGGGAGTATGGGTTCGAGTCACTTCTGGGGTGTGAGTTTTCAGTTATATATATATATATATATATATATATATATATATATATATATATATATATATATATATATATATATATATATATATATATATATATATGTTACTTCCATTCCATATAAGATTGGAAGTAACTGCAAAGGGCCTATTGGCCCATACTTTCTCCTGATTCCTCTATATTGGTACGGAGTCTGGCAGGTCCTGATCAGTAATGGACTCTAACGGTTATGTCGAAGCGATCATCAAGTGGAGGGTGAGTCGCCAAGCAACCTCAGACGAAACAGAAAACAATACATTACCAGTTCCTACAGTTAAAATATTCTACAGGAACTACTTCTCCTCGGCCCACAAAATGCCTGAAAAACATTATTGGTGGAAATGGGACCCTTACCGACACCACCCAGAAGGCTGAAGTAATAATATACTATAAGGGCAAGAAAACTGCCAACTTGCCCATTAAAAACTCTCTTAACCCCAAACCAAACCTCTTGAAAGAGATGAATGTCGTCTATGCCTTCACATGCCCACGTGGTTACTGTCAGCCCCAACGAACCTGATATATAGGCAAGACAACAATATCCCTTCAAGACGCCTAACAAAGCATAAAAAGCAAGGCCCTATCAAGGAACATATAATCTCTACATATATTTGAATCATCCATACCTTGACAAACACTCGTCCACACAGGCGTTGCTGGGAGAGCGCAGTGGTGATAGCAATAACTGGTTCTGCGGCGGTGTTCTGATCAATGACTTGTGGGTCCTCACAGCTCTTCACTGTTTGACCGCCAGGTGAGTACAACTTCCTTATTATTTATAAGCCATAATTAACAATTATGGCATTTAATATCTTAATGCCATAATTGCCATACAGAAGAAGGTGAGAAGGACTGTATATTAGTGAAAATAATAACTGAGCTCCGTAGACAAAGACTATTTTTTTTTGGGGGGGGGGGAGTCCAAACTGTATGACGAATATATAAATCAATGTTGAAATAAAACTCATTCCTTAACTAAATTTTAAAGTTACACATATAATCGATAGGCGACTAGGGTTAGATTTAATGCAATTGTTAAGTGGATGTGTTGGAAGGCGTTTACATAGATATGTTGGTAATAACATTTTAGGACAGTTGAAGTAGTTCGTCTGGGAGAACACGACTACAGTGACAACAACGACGGGGCGGCCCACGAGGATTATGGGGTGGACAAGACCCTCCTTCACCCGGAATACTTCCATCCGCAGGCTTATCATGACCTGGCCCTCATCAAGCTGGACAAGAGGGTCAGACTTAAAGTAAGTGCACTCTCCCCCCCCCCCCCCTCCCTCTCTCTCTCTCTCTCTCTCTCTCTCTCTCTCTCTCTCTCTCTCTCTCTCTCTCTCTCTCTCTCTCTCTCTCTCTCTCTCTCTCTCTCTCTCTCTCTCTCTCTCTCTCTCGCTCACTCTGTCTGTCTCTCTCTCTCTCTCGCTCACTCTCTGTCTCTCTCTCGCTCACTCTCTGTCTGTCTCTCTCTCTCTCACTCTCACTCTCACTCTCACACTCACTCTCACTCTCACTCTCACTCTCACACTCACACTCACACTCACACTCACTCTCACTCTCACACTCACACTCACACTCACACTCACACATTCACTCACTCACTCACTCACTCACTCAATCACTCGCTCACTCACTCACTCACTCACTCACTCACTGAAATTATTGGGTCTTTTCAGCCTTCCAGTTTTTGCTTGAAAAGAGGAGCTAGGTTAATAACCTGCCTTTTCAGAAAAAATACCATTTGTAAACACTATTTTTTTCGATTAAAGCGTAAAGCATTAATTGAATAATACAAACTAGTAAAGTATAGCAACAAACTAGTAAAGTATAGCAACAGAACTTTGCTCTGTGCTTATTTGATAATACCGGAATTCGAAGCACATTTTAAGATGTTAAAAGATGCTCCACAAACCATCTCTTTATCTGATTGCAAAACCATGAATATGTTTCATTCACCTGGGCTCTAGGAGACTCAAACCGTAGACCCCTCGAATGTGAGACCGAGCTAGAATGGAAAGTTTATTTCCACGGAATTGTGGACAACATTTGTGGAATTATGAACAATATATATATATGAATTGTTGTCATATATATGACAACAATTCAGATATATATTTCTTATGATGTATTAGATTAGTTTAGGCTGTATTAGGCTCTGTTGGGTTAAGTAAGGAAAATTTGGTTTGGACATGGTTTGATTAGATTAGTTTAGGTTAGGTTAGATTAGGGTAGGTCAATTTAGGTTATATATGGTTAGGTAAGATTAATTTGGATTATGTAAGGTTAAGTGGTAAAGTACAAAGTAATGTACCCGTGTATGGTCACGAATCTTCAATGTACCATTCGAGGGCTTCCATTATTAATTTTTGTAAATATTATTTATGTTTCTAACTTTTAGAATATTTTTTTTATATCGATAAATATATTCTCCTACTTGTTTCAGCCAACGATCAACCCGGTGTGTCTGCCGTGGGGGAATGAGAGCACTCAGAGGCTGGTGGATCAGACAGTCATTTTAACTGGCTGGGGCGACACAGAGTTTGGTCAGTGACTAAATATTTAATCCTTACATATTTACAATCATTTATTTGTAACTGAGTCTCGCCTCAGCTGCCGTGCGGTGTGGACGTGTCGTTTGCCCACTCCGGCAGTTTTGGGGTAGTTGCCGTTTTCGCCAGCAGGGGGTGTGGGTGTCTCTACCCTCCCTGCTGTTCCTGGTGGTAGGAACGTGGCGTGTTTGCGATGGGCGGCTCTATTCCAGCTGTCGTGAGGATAAACTCCATAGGATTTTAGTTTACTGGCCGTGCTGGTTACCCGCTGGTGGACTTGGTCTTGAGTGACAAGCTACGAGTCCCAGTCCAGGACGTATATGGTGTCGAACTGGTCACTGCTCGACGTGTCATCATCAAGTTTGTGGGTGAGGCAGTGTACCATGATTTTCTCCGGAGGTACGAAGAGCGTACGAAGGGCGTATTTTGAACCGTAGTGGGGCTGTAACATATGTAAGTGTCCATGGCGCCCCCATGGAGGTTCATGAGACTCTCCTCCGGCGTTTCTTCCAGAGGTACGGCTCCGTCGTCAGTGTGCAGATGAATTCGCTATTGTCTGGCACGTATTCGGGTGTGAAGACCAACATTCGGACCCTCGGGATGCGACTGACGTCGGACATTCCGTCATCTGTCCGGCTGTTAGGGTACTACGTGCGGGTGTATTATGCCCGACAACCCCGTACTTGTTTCCGGTGTGGCTTGTTGGGGCATCAGGCTGCCGGGTGTACTGCTGATCCGGTCGCTCCCATGAGCTTGTTCCGTGAAGAGGATTTCCCACCGCTCCCTCTGGAGGACTCCAGGGGTGAGGAGGTCAGCGTCCCGTTCACTGCTGAGGCTCCCCCAGCGTCGCCAGACGTTCCCCCGGTTGTCGCAGACCCTCCTCCGGATGTTGCGGTGCCGTCGAATGTTCCTCCTGACCATGTCTCTGGCCCAGCCGCTCCTGTGGACCTTCCTGGTACTCCCTGTGAGGCAGCGCCGTCTGCTTCCTCATCTTCGGATGTGGAACCTGGCCCTGCGTCCGCACCTCGAGTCATTACTGTGCTGGGTGCTGGGGTGGCTGCGTAGCCTCCTGCTGTATGTGGTCCGGTTCCTCCTGTGGTCGAGGCTGCTGCCGTTCTGCGTCGAGCGTCAGTTCGTCCAGCTAGTGGTGCCCGTGCTTCTGGATCTGCTTCCGGCTCTGACGATATCCGGCCAGAGCCCAAACGTTCCAGGCGTTCGTCTACTGCCTGGGCTGATGTTCGGGACTTCAGTGACTGTTGGTCTTCAGGTGATGACGGCGTGGCTCCGGATGAGTCGTTGTCTCTACGGTTGGTGGTGGCGGAGGTACATGTGCCTGCTGGTGCTGATGCCTGTGTCTCGGGTGTGCCTCCTGTTCCTTCCCCGCCCGGGGGCTCGCCGCAGTGGGATGTGGTGGCTTCCGATGCCAGGGATGGTGAGGATGCTGGTGCTGGGCGTGGCCTGGTGGTGACTTTACGAAAGGATGTGCGCCGCCATGTTTCCCTCCAGTCGTCAGGTGGTGTGCCCGTGGCCGCTGGTGCCCCTGTGGTGGTGCCCTCTGTCCAGCCTCCTCCTGTGGGGTTGCGTTTTGAGGACATGAAGGCCTGGGTTGCCGAGTTCCTGCTGTCTGAAAGGCCGGAGGACTTTTCTGATGAGCGGGTTCCAGGTGTATGGGATAGGGTGGCGGTTACTCGCGTCCGGAGGGACACCATATGGGTTCCCTGTCTGCGCCGCGGTGTTTGTTGCCAGGGTTCCGGTTCAAATGGCGCCCCCGGTGATGGGTCAAACCTCTTGGGGGAGGTGCCTGCTTTGGGAGACGTTTAATGTGCAGTATCCCAACGTCATGTTCCCGGGCAAATATGTCAGCTGATTTTACTTTGCTGTGTATGTTATCCTTCTGCTTTGCTCGCATGTGTTTTTCTTCTTAGCTTGTTGTGTGCTGTATGCTTTTCTTGTTTTGTTTCATGATGTCCTTTCTGCTGTGTTTTGTTCTCAGTCCTTCAGGCCAATGCGTGTTTTGTTGTTGTGTATGTACTAATGTTTATTTTCTGATTTGCATGGATTGCTTGTTTATTATTATTGTTTATTTTGGTCTCGGCCTTTGTTTGTTGCGGGGTGGTTGGTTTGGTGTGAGTGTTTTTATTCATGTTTTATTCATGCCTTTATTCATGTCTTGTTTCTGTGCTGTATGTTTACACTGGTGTTTTATTATTGCTTTACATGTTGTGCTTGTTTATTATTTTTGTTTTGTTTGTTGTGTATTGTGATTGTCCGGTTATGTTTCCTCTTAGGCCTCTTGATGTTTTTGTTTTATGATGTTTTGTTTTGACATGTTACTGTGCTTGCTTGTTTGACATTGTTTTCTATTATGTGCCTTGATGTCTGCTGTGTTTTTCACTGCATTTATCGTGTTTGTATTTTGTTGTATTGAGCTGTCGGCCCTTCTGGCCGGTGGTCTATTGTTTTGTTTTGTTCTGTTATGTTTTCTATGTTTTTTTGCTTGTTTTTATTGTATTTAAATTGCATACTTTGCATGTAAAAATAAAAATAAAAAAAAATAAAAATTTATTTGTAACTTATGAGTAAAATAAATTAAACTAGTGACTGTATTATCGGTAGTAAGGTAAGGTAATTATCAGAAGAAAGTGCTCTGCTAGTATGATCATTCACCACTTGGTCTGGTTGGTAGAGCAACGGCTCTGGTTTCATGCAAGGTCGGCGTTCGATCCTCGGTTGTCCAAGTGGTTGACCACCATTCCTTCCCTCCATCCTATCCCAAATTTATATATACCTTCAAAGTGCTATATAGTCAATATGGTTTTCTCCTGATAATTGCCTACCAATATAGCACTTAGAAGCCCAACCTCATTGACCATCAAGGATCAAACGCCGATCCTGCAAGATGCCAGATCTTTGCTCTACCAACCAGGCCAAGTGGTCGGGTAGCATTAATACAACTTTTAAATTCCCCAGCTGGGTTCCCAAGCTCGGTGCTGCAGGAGGTGCAGTTGACGGTGTTCCCGCCTTCCCAGTGTGATAAAAGTTACTCCACTCTGCTGGAGTACAGCATCTCCTGGCCTCAGGGTGTTGGAGAGGAGACTGTGTGTGCAGGAGATCTCAACGGTGGAAGAGATTCGTGTCAGGTAAGCCAATATATTTCGTTGGACAACATTATATTAGTTCAAAATCCAGGTAGACAAAATCCTCAGAAACAATGGTGGGGAGGGGGTAGGGAGGATTTTTTGACACACTGTCGGGTTCCTGTTCCCCCTCCGAGGCCACTAGATATTGGCCCTCAGTTGAATCCAGGTAAATTAGTGAACTCATTTGCGTTCATGAGTTTTAGTGACCTTAAAGTAATAATAATAATAATAATAATAATAATAATAATAATAATAATAATAATAATAATAATAAATAATTATGATAGGAAGAAGAAGAAGAACTATAATAATAAATTCATAAAATATACAGTACTCACCTAGTACAGTGGATCAGTTACAGAGGTTACTCGATAGGTACTGTCTTTGCAGGATTTATTAAGAAACTAATTACGTGCAGGCCAAAAGTTGTACTCGTAATGAAAATAATCGTGATTATGTGTGGTCGTCACAAAGAGTTTGTGAAAGAAAGAGTGAAACTGCCAAAACTCTCTTGTTTAATTATTGATGTGGCGATGGTCAGGTCGTGGGATCGGGCCCTGCTTGGTGCTCTTTTCAAAATATGTTTTTCAACATTTAATGTATTTATTAATATATAAACGAACAGAATTTTGATGTGTAGGAAATATTTTATGAGCTCAGCGGTCATCTATCTGTATAGCAATATTTACTTGAATATTGTAAATATTGAGAGTAACCATGTTTCCGTCAGTCCTGGAACCTTCTCAAGCCGTGACTTGTAACTACTTAGTAAGGGACTAGGACGCACCGACTTGATAAGGGTTCAAGACGGACCGAAACGTCATGACACTTTTTATTTAATATATGTAGGATTTTATAATTATTTCAGGCACCTTATTGCGAATTATTCTCTACACTATTTACACAAAGAGTCTTGGACGTCGTCCTGACTCCAGACAACACCTGAAGTGTCTGTCCTTCCACCGTACAAATCACCTGCCAATAAGCTGAAGTGTGTTTCCTTTCACACGCTAAACAATTCATCCATAACCTGAAGCCTTTTTCTACCGCAGGGAGACTCCGGGGGACCAATCGTGGCCCGGAACAAAGATAACTTCTACGTCCTGGCTGGCATCGTGTCCCGTGGTGTGGGCTGTGGTCAGAAGGACTTCCCTGGCCTCTATGTCAACGTCCGTCTTCCTGCCTACCTCGCCTGGATCAAGAAGATCGCTTTTAGTTAAACTGTATTAACTTTTACGTCAACTTCTGTCATGCAACATCAGTCTACTGGATCAAGAAGCTTATCTTCAGTTAACTATCTTGACCTTTATGTCATCCTCTATCATCTACCAGTAGTCTACTGGAAGAAGAAGATCACCGTTTCGTAATTTTACATTCAAACTATGTTGTTAATGAGGAAGTTGATTACAACTTTGGATTGCCTCTTAGCAGTCTGGAAAAACCAAGAGTTTACAAACAACTCTATCACTAATGTTCAAGATATTTCCATATTTATGGTATCAGATATATTATCCCAACTCCAAGCCAGAAATACCAGACTTGCCTATTATAAAAATATTTTATTTCTAAAATATACATAGGGAAACAATGCAATGGTTACATAGTATGTTATATAAAGACACAAATTACTCAGTGTTTCGGGTGTGTTGCATATAGTTCGGACATTGCATAGAAACTTGCATTGCCAACGTTAGCTATAGTAATGTTATTTAATCACAACCCATGTAATTCTATCTCAGATTTGAGGCAAGAGATATAATGACTTGTACACCATATATGTAAGTTATTGTCACACAAACTTGTCAAATTGTAAAAGCTTTTATATTGTCAGTTTATAAAACATTGGGTTATATTTTCTAAACCATTTTTGTGACTGTAATCATATGTTACTTTAGTTAAACGAACCATATCTGTGAATAGAATGTTAATGTATATGTTAAGCAACTTTGTGATTTGCTCCTCAATTATGAAGCCTGCTTAACTAAACAAATTATTTAAATTCTTTTCGGATTCTTTTACCAGGATTTTTTGAATTGAAATTTATATAAATAAAAATGTAAATGTTCGTTTGTTCAAAATCGCTAATTTCCGAAAGTTCTTCAACGATTGCTTGCCCTTGTGTGACAGTGCACAACAGAAAGTTGTTTTCACATATTCATACATTAAAACATTGATTGTAACCATGATATACATGTGCTTCAGCCTACAGTTTAGACCTATTGTCTTGTGTATGACCCTCTGTCCTGCGTGACAGTGAATACCAGCATTATCCTCACTTTAATAACGCTTAATTGAAATCCTCATTATATGCTAAATTTTGTCAATAAAGATGTTAATAACAATAACTTGAAATTTTCACACAACGTTCCATTCGCATCCGAGTTTCCAACTGCTTTGAAATTTTGACACAAAGTTGCATTCGAATAGGCGCATGTTTTTATATACCTACTATATACATGCCTCACGGGTGAGAGGAAAAACATGTTTTTTTTTTTTGCAAAACAGTGCCATCTGTTGGACCTAGGAGCAACACACGCTGTAATCTCCAAAAGTTCTTCACTGATTGTTTTGAAATCAGGATCCTGAGCCAGGATTTTGACACAATGTTCCATTCGAATACACGCGTGTTTTCATATAACTACTATATAGATGCCACACCTGTGACAGGTAAAAACGTACTTTTTTTTAAATCAGCGCTATCTGTTGCACATAATAGCAATACACGCTATACTAAATATGTTACGATTCCAATTGAATTGATAAATTGAATTTTCATAGATTTCGATTTATTTTCATTTTGATTTCAATATTTTGTGTGACATTGCATTGGAATTGATCTGTGTTGTTTACCATACCATTCATTTCGTGGGTATAGTTTATTTGTTTACTTTTGAGGAGGAGAGGACGGGAGTGGGGGATGGTGGGGAACACGAGGAAACAGGGAAGGGGGTAATGAGAGATTGACAAAGCTTAAGCTACATTCCCTGGGAAGGTTGAAGAATCAGGGGTGACATGATTGTACAAGTCGATGAATAGACATAACAAAGGGGATATTAATATTATTGGGTGGGTGGATATGAATAGGAGCTGCCTCGTATGGGCCAATAGGCCTTCTGCAGTTACCTTCATTCTTATGTTCTTATGTTCTTATGTATCTGGGTACTAGTGTCAGGATGAACAACCCATCGAGTTTTCTTCCTATTAGGGAGTGTTGTACATGCTGCTATGGCGGTCTGTCCATTCACAGGATGAGTGGCGCTGCCCATTAACCTCGGGGCAAAATTTTAATTTACAAAAATCAGCACCTTCCTGCACCTTCATGAAATAACAACTGATCCCAGCCCCACTCTCAGTACCAGAACTCTGTGACTCTAGAACACACCAGGCAATAAGAGGTCTCGCCAGTCAACCCTGTCTACTCCTAGCAGCTACGATCAAGACTCCCGAGACGTCAGACTCAAGGTGAGCTTCATTTGTCTCAATAAACATTTACACCCTCGTGGGGGTGGCGCCATTACCAGATATATGGCCCCACGCCACTACAATAGTGCAGTGAGAACCCATACAAACACAGTAGTAGAGAACACGGTAACACTTGTTTCCATCCCGTCCTCGATTCAAGTCCATTACATCCAGCGGTCGACCCCACAGACGCTGTCATAAGTTTGTACATGTCGTTAATTCAAAACGGGAATTTTCTCAAATATAAATTAATATTATGATATATTGGCATATTGTGCATATATAGGCATAGGTTAGGTTAGGTTAGGTGGTTGGGTTCTGTTGGCGATTATTTATATTTGTAGTACGTGGGTGAAGCATTTATAGCGTTGTGCTTCAAACAAAATTTGTCAGTGAAGCGCACATTTTGGAAGTGTTCGAACCATATCAGTTGTGAGTCGTGTGTAAACTGTTTTTCATTCATAAACAGGGGGGGGGGGGGTTTGGCGGGTGCATGGAACCACTTTTGGGTCTTTGTTGGGAGGACGGGCTGACTTACTGCTAGGCGAACAGAGGCATTACGTGATATTAAACGTACCCAATCATTTGTGTCCCGCCAAGGACTCGAACACGGAATTCCCGATTACGAGTCGAGAATGAACCCAACTCTACAGCCAGTCTTCCAAACAAATACCCAAAAGTGATTCCATGCACCCACCAAACTCTCTGTTTATGAATGAAAAACAGTTTACACACGACTCAACTGATTTCGTTCGAACACTTCCGGAACAAGTGCTTCACTGACGAATTTTGGTCGAACCACAACACTATAAATACTTCATGCTTCACCCACGTTCTACAAATACGTGGTATTTACCACGTACACCCACGTACTACAAATATATATATATATATATATATATATATATATATATATATATATATATATATATATATATATACACACATATATATATATATATATATATATATATATATATATATGTATATATATATATATATATATATATATATATACACATATATATATATATATATATATATATATATATATATATATATATATATATATATATGCACAATATGCTAGCATATAATATGTTAGACATAATATTAATTTATATTTGAGAAAATTCCCGTTTTGAATGAACAGCATATAAAACTTTATAAATGCGTCTGTGGGGTAGATAGCTGGATGTAATGGACTTGAGTCGAGGACGGGTTGGGTTGCAACTCTATCATTAGAGAACCATAGTGTTAAGTGCAATAGTTCTTGCGTGATGTCCCGACTAGTGAAATATATTCAACCATTGCGAAGTGTTATAAATGTTATTTTGCGTCTATTAAATGCCTTTGGCTTGGCAGCTGGGTTCATTAGATAATGGAAAAATTTACGTGCCTAATTGTGAATACCCTTTGATCGCACTAATGCAATGGGTGCTAAGTTATATATCATACTGAATTTGTAGTTTTACATAATAGCGTTTTAACAAACCTATGAACTGATACAACACCTAGTTCATCTAGGACCTCTTGCCGGCCCCGCCCTCCGGTTTCCAAATCGAGCTTCTGGCATTACAAATGTCACATTCGTAAACCACCAAAGGAATTAGACTTTAACTGTAAATCGCACTGATTAACATTTTGTTAGTGTTTGAAGGGAAAGACTGGTGAAATCTGCAACCGAATCCTGGCTCAGGATCCTGACTTTGATACACAAACTGGAAAAGCAATTCGACGAGCAGAATGTATTGGGTATGTCCGTGTTGTAGTACATTCAAGCTTGCCAAGACCAAGATGAGGATATTCTAGACTGAGCGCGGATGCTGCCGCCAGGGCAACGCGCCTCCATCAGAAAGACACCCACATTTCAAAGAAGTAACAGCTGATTCCAGCCTCATCCTCAATATGCAGGGCCTCGAAGCCTTAGAAGTCCCATGCCATAAGAAGACCTGGCCAGTCATCCTCCTGCAGCTACCAGAAAGCTACTGAAAAAATCTGCGAGACGTCGACTCAAGATAAGACTAACTGTCTTCATATTCTTGACTCCTCCCCTTCCTTGTTAAGGCGTCACCTTGACCAGACGATGGTCCACACGTGTTCCTACAGGAGATTAGATAGATTAAATATCCTTAATATCAAACACTAAGATCTAGTTTTCAATAAGCCAGTAGAGAACTGGTAATGTACATCCCTCATGCACTCCCTGTATGGTAAGTGGGTGATGTATAATGATTAAATTGAATGCATTTTGAAAGTCAAATAGTGGAAGCAAGTTCAATACACAGCTTCGAATGTAGATATGACAGTTCATTGAAGGTCCAGAGGAAGAATCAATGAGCTAGAGCTCAACCACTGCAAACAAAATTTGGCGAGAACTACAATAATAAAATTGCTTAAGAGTGTCCTAAAGTATTATTTTCTTCAAACAATCTAATATAGAAAATGAGAAAAAACAATATTTAGGAGTAACTTATATAAAACTGAAATTAATTAAATGAATTTACCTGAAAGCCAGTATCTCTCTAGTAGCCTCGACTAGGACAGGAAGCCGGCAGCTTGTCAAGTGTCTTCCATTTGTCCTGATGATCTTATTGAGTTGGATTTTAAAATTCAGAATAATTTTAGTATTGTTTTGCCATATATATGTAACTTGTACCTCCTATTGTACATTGCTAATCTTGAGCGCCAGCTCTTGGGTTCCCACCTCTCGCCCTGCAGTCAGCTGGTTAACAGCTTCCCCTGTCAATCATTAACCAGTCCCCGTGGCGAAGTGTTAACACACTCGCCTAGTGTTTCGCGAGCGATTTGGCCTGGGTTCGTATCCTGGCCTGGGAGTATTTACTGGAAGCCAATCCTTAACTGTAGCCTCTGTTCACCCAGCAGTGAATGGGTACCTGGTTGTTAAACGATTTGGCGGGTCGTATTCCGGGGAAAATTAGGATTAAGGACTTGCCCGAAAGTGCTAGTGGATTTACAAGAATGTAAGAACTCTTGTATATATATAAAAAAAAAAATAAAACATTCTTCCCTAACATGTACTTGTGTAAAGGAGGAAATGTATATGTTTATCTCTCAGAATGTTCGGTAATACGTTTATTGTTTGTGATGTGTGTCAAAGTATGTATTAACACGTTGTACTGAACGGGGTGAGAATAGCTTGAACTACCTCATCCCTTTGTGTGTATTTTACCTCAATAAACTTATTTCAATTTCAATTTCCCTAACATGTAACTTCCACTCATTCCTCACCGCAATTGCCTCACACAATGCTCAAACTTACAGTAACACAGCATGTCTCATATTCTCATATACTCACCGTGTTTATTATCTTGTCGTTCATCTTCTCATTCTGCTCTCAAACACATTCATTTAATTCAGAAGAACGTAAGAACAGGGTCCCGCCAATACACAGGGGTTCGTTCTGGGCACATTTCCTATCACCTAATGCGCCTGTTCACCTAGCAGTAAATAGGTACCCAGGAGTTAATCAGCTTGTTGTGGCGATACATCCTGGGGAGGGTCAGTCGTTCGACCCTGAGGGAGACCCTATTATAAGCCTAACATTTGTCCATATAAGCACTGGCTGCCTGTCCCTGACACAATGAATTATTATTATTATATGAATAAAGGAAACTGCAGAAGGCTTATTGGTCCAAATCGAGGTAGCTCCTATTGGGCCATACGTGGCAGCTGCTATTGGTCCATACGAGACATCCTCTTGGTACATACGTGGCACCTATTGGTCCATATGTTGCAGCTGCTATTGGTCCATACGTCACAGCACCTATTAGTCCAT